ACATTTAGTTTGCTTTTGAGAGGCTACCGACAAAAAAGTGAGTCTCGCCAGTTTATTGTATTTTTAATGGTGAAAATTACTAATATGTTGTCTTCCATAAAACACAGTATTCATAGATTTTATCTGATATCTGAGTGATGGAAATATGCGCTACGTTGACGACTTACTCGAACTGGTATTATACAAGGGCTCATTTGAAGGGGTCCGCGGATGCGAAGCCGACCCCCCCCCCCCTTTCCCTCCTTGGCGTGGGGTTCGGGGCCCCCTTGGTTGCCAGGCTACAGTGTAGCACTTTTCACGTCATCGCTATAAATAAAGATGGCCGTTGCCATTGTTTGAACAATCGCTATATTCCCTTTGCAAACTATCTTTTAGTAGTTTTGTTTAACATTTATAAACCCATATATCATACTACATGTTATTTTCTCTGACCAGTTGCCTTCATGGTCTTCACAACGCAGACCAGATTTGCGGATTCTTTTTTTCAATCATGCCTTCACTGTAACTCAAGTTCTTTAGGTGAATAATAGGCATTGACCTGATGTATGATCTACCTCATTTCAGCACTTTTTACTGCATCAAAGTAGTTCCCTATTACTGTTATTATGACAACATCAATGATTTAACGAACTTACTTGAGATCAACCTGAGCGAAATCTTCATAAAATACAGATTTACGACATTTGCAATGTGAAGCTCCTTTTTTACTCTGTTGCGTATTTATTTATGCGAGCTTAAAATAACGTATGGAAATAACCTGTTTCGGTTAAGTCATCGTTATAAATATACCCTTGGCATACCCTTGGCATTGTTTGAACAATCACCATGTTCCCTTTGCAAAACATCTTTTAGTGCTTTTATTTAACATTTATAAACCCATATATCATACTACATGTTATTTTCTCTGACCAGTTACCTTCATGGTCTTCACAACGCGGACCAGATTTGCGGATTATTTTTTAATCATGCCTTCACTGTAAATAAAAATTGACTTTTGTACTTACAAATACAAAATTACTGTAGGTAAGAACTCGCACAAATTGTTTATGTACAAAGCATGAATGAGTGCGTTGCTTATCGGTTTTTCTACATTGACAAAAGGCTTAATATTTTTGTGCTACGAATTTTGAATGACTCATTCACTTATGACTCGCGAACCAAAACTATTAATTTTTATGATGTCATCTATTCTTCGATCTATCAATATTCCCTTATTTGGTGTGATGATCTGTGCTCTTACAAAACATCTATTATTGTTTATCTGATTTTTAAATTTCTTACTCAGCACCTGTAGACTTATAAATTTTAAAGGATACAAAATATTTTTACAGAGTTTTTTATCCATCTGCTGCCTCTCATTAAAAATAGCGACCATAATCAGTAGTAACCTAGAAAATGTATACATTTTCCCGGATAGAAATTTTAATTTCCGTTAAATGTGAATTTTTAATTTGTATATATAAAAGGGTTAATAAATCTTCGTATGAGAGCTATATTTCACAATAAAAACATTGTGAACAAGTCATAGAAATATGATATATTCTGTTTTACCACAAAAACGGCAGTTATAGCTATTATTCTGATATCTGAGTTTGTCATCAGACCATGTGACCTCCACAGATGGCCATACAGGTACTTAATATCTTAAGAGATTATAACAAAAAACGAGCTTTTTAGAAAAAAAACAGGGACTAACTTTGATTGTAAAAATGGATTCATTAACCATTGGTAAGTATGGAAAAATTGTTGTTTACTCCAGGAAAATGTATTTTTTGGCCAGAAAAAAAGAGTTATTATCCCTTTAATGGCTGAATAAAGCCCTATCTTATGTTACCTTAGTTCAAAACTTTTATTAATATAGATTTTCATTTACCTTGACATGGCAGAATGATATGTCTATTGTTGCTATCTGTTACTTTACATACTGTAAGTTGTACTCTGATTCTCTTACTTGCACTCTTTGATATGAGTTCCAAATATAAAATTCATTTCACCAAATGAACAAAATAATGTTTGTATCTAAAAGCTTATTGTCACTACGATAGTATGTTTTAACTGCGATCATTATATTTTGATAAACAGACCATGTGTGTATAACTAGCGTTGTTAACCTGTAAGGCTGTAACGTTTTGTTTTTGTTTTTTTATAATTGAATATTTAACATTAAAAACTTTTCGACATCACTGTCTAAAATATCCTAGGCACCTAGTGTACTCAATTAAGTACATGGGTCGGATATCAGTCGTTTATGAGTCATATAGAATTTCGAAATGAAGTTAATATTTGTGTCAAGCAAGTTTATGGCGTGAGGTCCAGGCGGCCGTCTAGGCCAATGGGATTTTTGGCTCCCAAAAGTCGGAAATCTTATCTCTGCTTTTTTCTTTCACCAGCATACGCGTGACACGCATGTGAACAGTGTCTGTTAGCACAGGACAAACATTCCTGTTCTCGCCTAAGGAAATATATGTTCAGTCTATGTACATTGTGATATCGCTTTGTTTGCATAATGTGAAGTACTCAAACCAAACAAACAGACCAAACAAAAGTGACACATGATTTCAGTTTGCACTTCCCAATGAACAATGTATCGAAAAGAATGTATCAGCCTGTCACTGGAACAAAGACGGGGTTTACAAAACAAGCCATGAGTGAGTCCATTACCGGTTATCTGCGTATAAGTGGAAGATTTTTTCTACTAAAACAAATGAAAAATTACAATGACGTGTGAACACTTTCGAAAACAGCCACTTAAATAGAAAGCGAAAAAAAAAAAAAAAAAAAAAAAAAAAACGGACAGATGGAAAAACAAAGGGATTCGGCTGTGGGCTTGTAAATACTTAATGAAAGCTCATGTAAATGTCTAGAATGTCTTTTTCAAATAATTCAATAAAATGCTTGCGTCTTCTTTCGCAGTGTCGCCGGGTTTTAAAAATTGAAAAAAAGTCTGCGTTAGGCCTACGTCTTTTGGCACAGGTCATCATTTTTAGTTGTTTGATGTTTGCGTATTATCCTGGGCCCTGTTTCATCAGGGCTGGATAGTGCTATCCAACGGATAAAAATGGCCGCTATCCTCTGGATAGAGCTATCCAGAGGATAGTACGCTTCATCAACAGTGATCTAGGGAATAAATTAACTTATTCTGAGGATAAAGTTGTCCGCTCGAAATAGGTGGGATAAATCTGCTATCATGCTGTTAACTCATCAAAAATGGCGAACCTGTTTGCTTTGGGAGTAAATCCTTAGAGATGTCACAGGCGTAGAATGATTAGAAAGAGAATTTTGGAAGATGTGTGTATGTATTTGATGTTTTGAGTTATAGCCTACTGAATGAATTGATTACATAGCAGACTTTATCAAAGTTGACATCGCGCCTGCTACAAACTGAACCCATGCAATCTCCGTGAGAGAGACCAACTATCTTTTTTTTATTTTACTAACAAAATTACCTTTTAAATCGACGAAAAAATTCTTCATAGCTATTGACAGAATCTGCCAAACCAGGGGTAATCCTAGAGAGGGGTGAGAAACGTGCATTGTTCTCGTCAGCGAGGCTGGCTTTTTTCAGGGTATGTACGCACAGACAGAAAACTAAGTATTGTGGGAACGTTACTAATGAAGCCACTGGTAGTACTACTAGTAGTAGATATCAGTCTTGAACAAGCGCCTCGATGACGAGTGAACAGTTGTCAAAAACAAAAGACCCAGGTGTGGTAGTTCGACTACTGTTCATGCGTGCCGCAAAGACCAAACCTAATTGCTCCTCAAGGTCACAAAACAATATCCGGTACTGACGGCTAGGCTCGTCTAAATCATATAAGTAGCGCGTTTCCACCGCCTGGCCAAACGTGCCAAGTCAGCCATTTTGTTAGACAGTATGACACGACCTTGCCCTTCAAATGCAAATTGTAAACATTGCATCAGGCACAACTAATGCAATGTTTTTTTTTTTTTTTTTTTTTTTTTTTTTTTTTTTGCACTGACACTAAAATATCCTATAGATATTATTCCCATTATCTTAATGAATGTACCATCTTGAAATATACTTATACTGTTTATTATGGGTAAGTTATTTTCCAAATATGGTATAGGTCACTTTTTTGTTATCATGTCATGCGGGGTATTCAGAGCATAGACCGTGATCACTAGATATCGCCAATGGATTTTTAGATTTTTTAGAATATAGATTTTTCATGTGAACGGTGCCTTATACCATGGATAGTGTTATCCATAGGATAGCCTATTCAGCCTTGATGAAACCGGGTCCTCGTCTTTATTAAAATCTTAAATTCAGTTATATTCATGTTAAGCTAGAATTTGATGACAGGGAACAATTAAATATTTTTTCAGGAAACGCTGCAAACTCCATTCTCTTCGGAAGGAATTGGCATAATATTACCAGGCATTGTGAAAAAATATAGTTGAAGTTGAGGATAAAATATGTCAGTGAAATAAACGTGCATGTTGTATTACCCTTTATCGGAGTCTTATTTTTGATAGTATTATCTTGCAAGTATTATGCAAAAGAGTTGATATTTTTAAAAGTTTAGTTTTTTTTTTACTTACTCACCTCAAACTTTCGTTACTAAATACGAAGATTTTCGCATACTTGCAAGGCATGAATAAAATAAAATTCCATGATTTACTAAAAAATACTACATTTATCCCTATGTCACCAAAGATTTAGAAAAAGTAGAATTCACGAAAATATATTTAACTCCATCGTACACTTTTCTTCAAATAAACCAAAATAACGAGAATGAGTATTTATGGCACTTTTCCCGCCAAAATGAAGAGTTATTATCCCTCTTAGGTACATGTTACTATAGGCTTAAGGTGTATGCTAACCTACTCAAAAGTTTTGAGTGGAGCAATGTATAACATCACTACATGAACATGTAGCATTGTTTGAGATTGAAAATCATTTATTCATATTTTCCTCATAATTATTTGCCATAATCTTCAGATTTGTTTCCATTTTTCTCATTGGCATTTCCACGACTCTACAAAGGAATCAGTTTCATCACGGTGGTCCTGATAGGGTCATCCTTGTGCACAGTGCCCCATGTTATGCACTGCCATGTTTTCTGGCACATGTCATCATTTCCGTATCGGTTGTTCAGGGCACCGTAGGAGCAACCGTCCCACCACCAGCCGCCGCCGTAGTCGTAAGCGCACTTGCCACTGTCTCTGTCGTACGTGCCGAATGCTTTACCGTTAAGTTTGCCAAATGACTCCGGGGTGTTGTACATAGAGTCTCCGGCTGTGCCGTTGTAGCCACCGATCTGTACACATGAAAGAGAGGAGACAGAAATATTAAACACTTACGAGTGCTTTCTGCAAGAAAGAGGTTGAGAACAGAGTATTCGTTTTCCACTTGAAAGAGAGAAATTGTCCTAACTGAAGCCAACGGTCCTACCATCAAACAATAATTCTTATAATATATTAAGTGGAATGAAATAGATTTATTTAAGTCGAAATGACACGTTGTCTACTATCCTCCCTCCTTATTAAAAACAATTAAAATAAATAAACATGTTGAAATACGATGAAAAATTAGTAATAGCGTTTCTTTGAGACATGTCACCTATATTTGCTTTTTACCTTAAGTCGGAAAAGGTTAGAGGCATCTTCCAATTGGAAAGTGCTGTACTCTGCCACGTAAGTTCCCGGATGTGAGACGTAATCGAAGTACGTCATTTCAATGCGGAGTTTGTATCTCTTCTGGGAAGTCAGTGCGTACGTTTTGTTGTTGCCCAGCCAAAAGTCACCTTTCTCTCTCAATCTGCCAAAGCCAAGCGCGTACTCCATCCTGTAAGATATTTTAATTGGTCGGCTGCAAATTTAACAACTGAGAAAAATGTGGCTTTCTAATTGGATTTAATCATCAGTTAATGGGGGCAGGCTTGCAACGGCAATGTACACAACCATAAAAAATAATAGTAATACTAATAATAACAAAAGCCTATAAAATAATGATAATAACGAAATTCGTTGAGAGGACATCCTTCCCATAACCAACATGCTATTGTATTCAACCACGGTAATCATACATGTACTAGTACTAGTACTTCGATTAAATCATAATTTTAATAGTTCATTGTGAAATTTATCACTTGCAGTCTCTTTAAGAAAAAACTTAATTACACACACAACAATACAATAAACTAATCAGTATATAGCTACTGATTCTATACCATGTACGATTGAAGTCGACATATCCGGTCAAGCGCTGCTGTATGACGGTGTAGGGGCCATCGCACAGTGCTAAGAATGGACCTCCCGCTCTATCTGGCCATATCTCCACTATACGACTGCCATCTGCCGGATCTTCAGAGCAATCTGTAACAATAGGTAACACTTTTGACATGTATTCAAAACCAATATCAGGCTCCCTGAGCTTCAGATATAACTTGACACTAACCTCTTCACAATAGCCTATCTCCATCGTGTCAAGTTACCTCTGACCACATTCGATTGCCCCCGCCGCCCGCCAATCAAATTTAAAGCCCGCACTCAATGACACATTGAACGATCTAGCCAATGAACGCGAACGAGTCAAAGCGCGCTTTGTTCAAATCCGGACCAATCAAAGATAAGGCTGAATATCAGAGACTTGCAGCACGCAAAATACATCATCCCTCTGTAGTTAATGATGCAGGGCCTCATACTGCTCAGGTTTCAATCCCGATATACTCATATTTTGTAAAGAATAAAGGGATAACTTAACACATTCTTTTACGTAGTCACTCGCCATGCTTTCTTTGTGTACGGTTATGCACTCGGAACTCCTCGGATGTCTCCGCACTCGACAATAACTTTGTTGTTAGATGGCTTGCGGAATCAGCCGAGGATTGCCGACTGACGGTTATGCGGACGCAACGAAATACAATTTTCTCATTTGACATAATTCTGGACTTTCAACCAATCAGCGTTTTCACCAATCTTTGGTGAAAAATTTTGAAACATGGATTCGATTGGCTTATATAAACTAGGTCAAACTATTTTCGTCAGAGGTAACTTGACACGATGGAGAGGCTATTGTGAAGAGGTTAGTGTCAAGTTATCTCTGAAGCTCGGGGTGATATCAGGCTATTTACAAGGCCATATAGAATTTGCAGGACCAATTTACTGATTATGTCTCTAAATTTTTTCTATTTACAAATATTGTGAGGTGACTGGAGGGTAAGACAGAAGGCCACACTGTCCGTGTCTTAAGATCCAGGGTGAGAGAAAGCGTACATTCGGAAGTTGTAGAACCATATTTTGCAACCGATATAACGCAACATATCTGCAACAGAAATAACGATCTGAAAAATAGAATTAGCAACCCCCCGGGAAAGCCACACCCGAAATTATACTAAGATTTCCAAAGGACCTATGCAGATCTTCTATGGTAAGGTTATCAGTCCGGAAGGTTTCATGTTCCTAACTGTAATGGCATAAGGGTAGATAGCAGGAAGAATAATGTAAATTTTAAAATCAACCACCCCAGGGACGGCTACACCCAAAACAGTCGCGTGTGAAAAATGTGTATAATGATGATATGCAACCCTAAGGCGTGCCAGCATTGAAAACTATCGTGTCCAAATTAAAAAAAAGATTAACTTTCACCTACTATGTGAAAGAAAATTTAAAGCCCAATTACACGTGGATTGCGATGGATGGATGGATGGATGGATGGATTGCGATGGAAAGATCATTTTAACGATTTACAATCTGCCTGGAATTATGACATTAAACTCTGAGCTTAAGTCAACAAATAAAATTTAAGCATGGTTACTTTTAAAACAAGGATGCTCAGGTTCTTTGCTTGGACACAGACACGATGGTATTTCTGTTAGTGCAGTAAGAACACTTGAAAGGGTTGGAAATTTTGTTACTAAGGTTTTTTAAGAGATAAGAGAAGTTTTCTTATATCTTCATTTGCAGTGGTGTTAGGGCTTCTGGCCCCAGTTTCGCTAAAAAACTGAAGTCAGTTCCTCAGCTTAGTTGACTAGGATTTCCATGAGAGGGCTGTTACACTGCTTCTGATAGGGTAAGGTGTGCCCATTTAACCATGGTAATTAAGTTCTTAGCCAGGGAGCCTGACTTAAGTTTTTTTGTGAAACCGGAGCTTGAGCGGACCTCGTCTGAGGTCTCTACTGTTTTAAGACAATGGCAGGGGTTTGATGGCGGCGGTTTTCCATATGCCAGGTGTTTTGCACGATTCAAACGACCTATTATAATATGGGAGGATACTTCCAATAACTGAGCTACACAAACATGTACCTGTAAAAGTCTTTTAGACGGTATTCCAACTTGGGCTTCGCGGAAGTTTAACCTAATAAGTGACGGTTAATTTTGGTGGATCAACGTTGAATCAATGTCGTTTGCCTGCTGGGCTACGAAACCAAAGATGTTCGCTAACACTAAAAAAATCCCAGTGTGTATAAAAGTCCCTTTTAGAAAGTCCCATGCTAGTTTAAAACAGAGCAAGGGCGTGACGATATTTCACATTTGGCGTAAACAAAAAAATCCCCTCCCTGTTGTTTTTATCCATGTGTTATTAATGCCAGGTAAATATAACCCACCAACCCACTTAATCAGCGGTTCGATTTTCGATCTCATATAAAAATGGGCTCATTTCTGTTTTACTTCTCACAGTAAACAAAAAAAATCCCCGGCCTTGCAGTTTCTTTCCATGTATTAAATGCATTTAAGTAAGCTGCTAGTCACGTCTTATTGGAAATGTTGACATAACCCACTTAATTGGGTTTTGACCTCAAATAAAAATGGCTCATTTCTGTTGGTCAGGTATATTGTGTATATGTCTCTTCTAGAAGGTTGCATTATAGCTCACAACAAAGCAGCAGTGTTATGGTTGTACTTCTTGGCGCTGTATAAAGTCAGGCCCTGCATAAAGTCAGGGTTGCTCATAGGCAGAGATCGATTTGCGACATTGTAGTGGCCACTGGAAAATGCCCACAATAAAAAGTTGGTCGAACATGTCTGTGTAAGGTATATTAAAGCATGTAGAATTATTTTCAAAACGTCATCTTCCTCCCTGAACTTTGGTCCCTTTACATATAAAAACCTGCAAGCTATTTACACAACATGTCACTTGTGTCACATCTAAACAGTAAGACAAACTATAGTTATGCAAAATATCGAAACTAAAGTGAAAATTCAACGTGTTGCTTACTGGTATCTCTAAACTGGCATTTATTAAACCTCATATCTTCGGTTTTGCGAATATGTGTTAACAATACTCCATGACCAAATTCCATCGTTACCTTGCATTTGTTACACAGATTAAAAGTGCGCATGCGTACAGGGTAATTCCAGCCTAAATCCCCATGCTTTTTATAGACTAACCCGCACACCGGTGCAACCTAGCTAAATATAACATTTCTTGGAAGGATCCATATTGTTAGCTTTTGACGGTCCTGATGCAGCTGATCAATAACATTAAGCCATAAAAACACATTTTGTTTCTCACCATGAAAAAATAAATTGAAATTGGTGTAGTGGTGTGTTAAGTTGAAACATTCAGTCAGGATCCCCGTCACCCAGGTTATAAAGTGTGCATGTTCTGCAAAATGATTATTTATTTTTGAAATTTTCCTAGAAGAAAATCGCTATGGAGTTTGATGACTTTTTGGCTCAACGCACAGACATAGGCCTACGTGTTATGACATACAGAAAAGGGGGTCAGCTCCGGAATTCCCAGGTGACTTTTTTAACAGGCGAAAATCAGTGCGCGCGGGGATCGTCTTACCATCACAAAAAATAATAATAATGAAATAAGAAAAATAAAATAAAATAAAGTAAATAAAATAAAGAAAAAGGGTTGAATGAATGACCCGAGCATTAAATGCCAGAACGCCCCAAGCGTCAGTCAGAGGTGTTCAAGGCGGTTTTTTAAATACATAATGTAGCTACGTTTCATGTGCCTAACTCAAATGGCTGTGCAAGGTTTAGTTTACTTTAATTGAGATTGAGGAGCCGGGTGACCGGCTCAGCTAATGCAATGGACATTCATTTGCATAAATGATAACTTTTTTTTTCAGGGTGGTGCCCCATGAGCTTGCACTCCGTAGGAGGAACACATAGTATACTCTTTCTTTTTGATCCGTTATTTTCTAATTGAAATTTAGTTACAGGAATGGCAGAAATGGTGAGTTTTTTTAATACTGTTTATTGATTATTATTGACTATTGGTGATTGTTTAAATTTATCGGTTTTTGTGTAGGTAAATTTAAGCACATAAATAATCGGTAGTGATTGCTTTATTGTAATTTTCTTTTTCTTTTCTTCTTTTTAGTTTTTAGGTGCCTTGTTAATTCCTATGTGAAATAAAACCAAGATCAAGTGAACAACTTATGCTTTTCCTTGACTTATCTGTATAGCCCCTACGTGCTATAGGCTGATACAAGGCGGAGATAGCAGAGAATAGGATGTAAAAATTAGAATCGATCCCCTGCCCCCAGGGACGACCACGCCCCAAGTCAAGATAAAATTCCGAAGAGACTTTGTACATGTAAATCCCTAATGGTAGGTTTATTAATCCCCGGCGTATCAAGATGGATTATGCATGTATATAATTGTCCAACCCAGGGGAAAGCTTGACCAGTGTCAGCGTATCTAGCCGAGGCAACCCTGTCCCCATTCCAATTCTACCTCTTTAGTACTTCACACCATTTCAATGACTCTGAGAAATCCTGGTTGCAAAATGCGTTTTTACTTTTTTCTTTAGTTGCAAAATGCGACTCTACTTAATAGCGCCGTATTTTGCAACCGAACGCATTTTGCAACACACATACACATACACACATGCCGGTTGCAAAATGCGTTCGGTTGCAAAATACGGCTCAACAAAGTGAAAAGCCACTGACTGTATCATTCTGGATGCAATGAGATAAAATTAATCTCACGTACTTCAGTGCAATGAATGTAGAGTTTTACTTATTTTAAAATAAGAAGTTAATTTTTACTTTTTAACTTGAGTTCTTGTGAATTTTTAAAAGAGATTTTAAATAATTAATCTCACGTACTTCAGTGCAATGAATGAAGGGTTCTACGTTTTAATAAGAAGTTATTTTTCTACTCTTTTTATCTTGAGTCCTCGTGACTTTTTAAAAAAGATGCATTTGGCAGTGCACGAAAATGGGTGAAAGTGTGCACTTCTACCTCTTGCACAAACACACACAAGTGAGGATAACGGCTGCCAAATGTTTAGATAATTGAGATAAGTGTGTTGGACATCTTTTCTTTATCGCCTAGACTCAATATTTAGCCCTATTTTAAGTAAGCAGCAAACGAACAATTGANTGAAGTATCTTAACACACGTCTTCTTGGAAGTGTTGATATAACCCGCTTAATTCTGCTGGTCAGGTATATTGTGTATATGTCTCTTCTAGAAGGTTACATTATAGCTCACAACAAAGCAGCAGTGTTATGGTTGTACGTCTTGGCGTAAAAAAAAATCTTCAGCCCTGCATAAAGTCAGGGTTGCTCATGGACAGAGATAGATTTGCGACATTGTGGTGGCCACTGGAAATGCCCACAATAAAAAGTTGGTCGAACATATCTACGTAAGGTATATTAAAGCATGTAGAATTATTTTCAAAACGCCATCTTCCTCCCTGAACCTTGGTCCCTTTACGTATAAAAAACTGCAAGCTATTTACACATGTCGCGTTTGCCACTTCTAGACAGTAAGACAAACTAGGGTATAGTTATGCAGAATATCGAAACTAAGGTGAAAATTCAACGTATTGCCAGATGAAAATATTCTGGTATCTCTAAACTGGCTTTTATTAAACCTCATATCTTCGGTTTTTCGAATATGTGTTAACAATACTCCACGACCAAATTCTATCGTTACACTGCATTAGTTACAAAGATTACAAGTGCGTATGCGTACAGGGTAATTCCAGCATAAATCCCCATGCTTTTCATAAACTAACCCGCACACCTGTGCGATCTAGCTAAATATATCTATTCTTGGAAGGGTCCGTATTGTTAGCTTTTGCCGGTCCTGATTCAGATCGGTCCTGATCGATAACGTTAGGCCATAAAAAAAAAAGCATTTTGTTTCTCACCATGAAAAAATAAATTGAAATTGGTGGAGTGGTGTGTTAAGTTTAAACATTCAGTCAGGATCCCCGTCAAACAGGTTATAGAGTGTGAATGTTCTGCATAATGATTATTTATTTTTGGAATTTTCCTAGAAGAAAATCGTTTAAGAGTTTAATGACTTTTTGACTCAACGCATAGACATACGTGTTATGACATACAGAAAAGGGGGTCAGCTCCGGAATTCCCAGGTGATTTTTTTAATAGGCGAAAATCAATGCGCGCGGGATCGTCTTATCGTCACAAAAAATAATAATAATAAAATAAAAAAAAAAGAAAAAAAAGAAAAAGGGTTGAATGAATGGTCCGAGCATTAAATGCCAGAACGCCCCAAACGTCAGGTGTTCAAGGCGGTTTTTAACTACATAGGCCCTATTGTAGCTACTGTAAGTTTCATGTTCCTAACTCAAATGGCTGTGTAAGTTTAGTTTACTTTTATTGAGGTTGAGGAGTCGGGTGATCGGCTCATCTAATGCAATGGACATTCATTTGCATAAATGATAACTTTTCATTCAGGGTGGTACAGCTTGAGTTTGCACTCTATTTCATTCAGCACAGTGTCTCCGTAGGTGGAGCACATAGTATACTCTTTCTTTTTGATCCGTTATTTTCTACTAGAAATTTATAGTTACAGGAATGGCAGAAATGGTGAGTTTTTTTATACTGTTTATTGATTATTATTGACTATTGGTGATTATTGAAATTTATCGGTTTTTGTGTAAGTAAATTTAAGCACATAAATAATCGGTAGTGAGTGCTTTATTGTAATTATCTTTTTCTTTTCTTCTTTTTAGTTTTTAGGTGTCTTGTTAATTCCTATGTGAAATAAAACCAAGATCAAGTAAACAACTTATGCTTTGCCTTGACTTTAACTTATCTGTATAGCCCCTGCGTGCTATAGGCTGATACAAGGCGGAGATAGCAGAGAATGCGATGTAAAAATTAGAATCGATCCCCTGCCCCCAGGGGCGACCACACCCCAAGTCAAGATAAAATTCATAAGAGACTTTGTACATGTAAATCCCTTATGGTAGGTTTATTAATCCCCGGCGTATTAAGATGGATTATGCATGTATATAATTGTCCAACCCAGGGGAAAGCTTGACCAGCGTATCTAGCCGAGGCAACCCTGTCCCCATTCCAATTCTACCTCTTTAGTATTTCACACCATTTCAATGACTCTGAGAAATCCTGGTTGCAAAATGCGTTTTTACTATTTTCTTTAGTTGCAGAATGCGACTCTACTTAATTGCGCCGTATTTTTCAACCGAACGCATTTTGCAACACACACACATACACACACACACACATACACACATACCGGTTACAAAATGCGTTCGGTTGTAAAATACGGCTGTACAAAGTGAAAAGCCACTGTTTGTATCATTCTGGATGCAGTGAGATAAAATTTATCTCACGTACTTCAGTGCAATGAATGTAGGGTTTTACTTATTCTAAAATAAGAAGTTAATTTTTACTTTTTAACTTGAGTTCTTGTGAATTTTTAAAAGAGATTTTAAATAATTAATCTCACGTACTTCAGTGCAATGAATGAAGGGTTCTACGGTTTAATACGAAGTTATTTTTCTACTCTTTTTATCTTGAGTTCTCGTGACTTTTTAAAAAAGATGCATTTGGCAGTGCACGAAAATGGGTGAAAGTGTGCACTTCTACCTCTTGCACAAACACACACAAGTGAGGATAAGGGCTGCCAAATGTTTAGATAATTTAGATAAGTGTGTTGGACATCTTTTCTTTATCGCCTAGACTCAATATTTAGCCCTATTTTAAGTAAGCAGCAAACGAACAATTAATTAGTCTTCCTTTACCTCTGGGATAATAATCGCTTGCTTTCACGCTGCTGACGTAAGCCTTATAGCCGGAGTTGCCCGACTCAATGTCGTCTGTTCGGAAATTAAACATCAACTCATCCCCGTCTGTTGCTATCTTCTGCAGACTGGCCTGGTCAGTTGGGAAAGAGGACAGTCCGAGCTTCTCTAGTTCTATATCACAGACGGCCTTGGACGAGGAAGTAGCATTGGGCAACAACCTGTAATGGTGAGGGGAAAAATCAATTTGCTATTTCATTTTACAGGATTTTATCAGGAGGTCACTTTTATCCAAACGTTATTATTTATTATTATTTATTACTAAAACCACCATAAAAGATGAGTAAAAAAATAAATATATGTGTAAAATAATACAATAAAAGCAGTAATTAAAACGATTTTAAGAGCAGTCCCGCCAACATATATTCTTTTGAGAGTCTGTTCTGATAGCTGGGGCTGTTTACTAAAAATCCCAGCGTATATAAATGACTGTGTAACATATAAAGATCTCTCTCTCTCTCTTATGGCGCACTGCTGAATTGGTCACATACATGTATGAGTGTAGAATATATGTAAGAAAAAAGAACAGAAAACATGGCGTCATTGCGAATGTATTGTCTTTCTACTTTCACTGTATATTTTTGTAAAATTATTTCGACAGAAAAAATTTAGGCTTTTCTCAGTTTACAGCATATCGTACAATGTGTATTGTGTATTGTCAATTCTTTTTGCACGTAATAGAAGTGAGTTCAAACTGCACAAACATGCTTCTACTTGGACCAGTAAACAGCTTTAAACAACAACATTTTAATGTTAAAACTATAATTGCGTGCTGAACAAAATAAAAGAATTTTAGCCTACCTGGTGACCGCCAGAGAATCTTGACAAAAAGAGTTTCTGGGCGACTGAAGAGAGAAATCGGTAACATTCACCAGCAGGGTGTAGCCACGTGCGGTGTACAGGTGGGTCAGACATGACAGGTTGGGCGGATACGGATACGGATATCTTGGTGACATGACTACCTGTGTGGTCCCTGGTTTAACTAGGATACTTGCATTGCATCCTGATAAAAATTGAAATTAAGAAAATTATGCCAGTGATGTTTTTACTTATACATTGTACAGCCTTACAGATTATTTTCCGTCCTGATCACTTGACGCACCTATTTTGACGTCACAAACACGTGACTGGGAGGTAGTAGGTAGTTTTGATATAATAGCAACTTATTTACATTCAAATGCAATTATTTAGGAAACATGTTTATGAGTAATTATAAAAAGGTTGTTCCTATGCTGCACGTACAATAGAGAAATCATACCCACCTTGGAAAGCGGTTCCATTGGTGTATACTACTGGAAACTTGGTGGATTGAAACTCTGTAAAGATTTGAAAAATGTACAACTCTTCAAGCAAGCACCAAACTTTTATTTAAGGTCCCGGCACATATTATGGTTGCCGTCTCCTGAAACGGGATATTTGACCAGTAGCATAAGCACTGAATTTTATATGTATTGCACATTCAATACATACACCTGTATCTTTATTCATATTACAAGAAGCATCTTTACCCTACATGTGAGAGAAAAAGGGAACCAAGAAATGTAAAGCCGAGAAGCAAAAAGATAACTTATAACATACGGCAGCGACAATGCCACTGTCAGCCTGTGACGAACACTTAAACCATCTTTCGTTAATATCAAAAATTACTGAGCCTGCTTCTCATGCAAGTGAGATTATATGAAGTTTGCTGTAAAGTTCTACTAGAAATGTACAAATATTCTCATATATTGCACAAATATTCTTATCTGATATATTCCACGTACGTTATACGTGGTTGTAAAGAAAAAAAAAACAGAAGTTATAAAAAAAATAAACGTGTTTCCTGTAAACTACCTGAGCAGTCACTGGATTTGCCAGGAGTCAGATTGATGTCATCAATGGCGATGTCGCCTCGATATTCTGTTACACCACTCGCTTCGAATATGATCTATAAAAGTAACCAGAACGTGTTAATTTAATTGTACTTTAATATCAGCTGGCAAAATACATAAAAAAATTGGTTATTTCTATATTAAATTGGCCAAAAAATATCATTTTTGCCACTGAAAATAACGTTTCATTCGCGCCAACTACTGTTTAACGCACTAAATTTGCGGCTAAATTTGCGGTAGCTGTTCAATGCACTCCTCAAGTAATAGATGCGTTTGGGTCACTTATACACTTAAGCCGTACTTGCCTAATTTTATGCATAAGTTCGTAACATTTTTGTCTTTTTAGTTGAAATTTGAGGACAATTTGTTGCTGGCACCCTTGGCAGCTACGGGGAATTATACTATGTAAGCCAATTTTCCCTCACCTCTTTATCGAGGAAAAACAACATGCCATACCACAAGGGGTGCTCTAAGCTTCCACGTTCTTAAGCTAAACACAAAATATCTTTGTTATATATAAAAAAATTGATTCGAACTGATAACCTGATGGTATCCAGATTTTGGCGGTAGGACAATTTTGGCGGTCTCCCAGACGTCTCCCTGGTCACCGCTCAGGGACCATACCAATGTCTGGCTGGTCGTCTGCGCGAACGTTTTCAAGTACACGTTCAGGGTTCCAATATCGGCGCCGTTCATGTTGTAGGCAAACTGAAGCAAGTGGCACCTCTTGGCCAGGGAGAACCTTTGGCTGGTCATGGTGCGGGTGCCATTGCCACCATTAGACGCCTCGATGTATGCGTAGTAACCTAGAAGTAGTCCCATATGTACAATACTACTTGCACAAGTACCTAATGACAAACACACAAACAGTTGTGCGTCTGAGCCGATTACCATTTAAACCATCAAGACCACACTGGGTCCGGTGTATAGACTACTTACCGTTGGATACACTGGGTCCGGTGTATAGACTACTTACCGTTGGATACACTGGGTCCGGTGTATAGACTACTTACCGTTGGATACACTGGGTCTGGTGTATAGATTACTTACCGTTGGATACACTGGGTCTGGTGTATAGACTACTTACCGTTGGATACACTGGGTCCGGTGCCACTGCTGGAAGTTCGACCGCGATTCCTTAGCCAAGTCTGTGTTCCGGATAAGGAATACTGACAAAACCCGTTTTCGAAATTGCACTCCAGAGGATCTGAAATGAATTTTATAACGTATAATCGGTCGATATTGAAACGTTAAGGGAGGACCGCAGCTTGGAAATTTCATCTTAAATGTGACGTAATATTGGTTATTTTGGGTCAAAAACATCATTTTCGGTTACCTGATTTTATCAGGCACCTTCACAGCTACATGTATAAACATGCTTTTAATGGTATTATAACACTGGAACAAAGTACTACAAAGGGGGTTCAGGGTTTTTTCTTTAAAGACATACTGTTTATTTAATCTATAAAAACGTGATTTTTGGTCTTATTCGGGTACATTCCCCCCCTAACGTTGCTTTAAGTCACGCTGATAACAGTCAGAGATCAAGAGCGCAGTACAAACCTTTGCATATGGTAGTATACCCGGTCCAATAGCCTCCGTCAGAACATTCTCTTTGAAGTGAACCAGACTTCAGTCCATATCGGCAGCTAAGTTTTACCTTAGCTCCGAAGACATAATTTTCAGCACCCGAAATTTTACCGAATTCTGGAGCTTGTAGCTGCTTACAAGTGGTAACTGCAAAAGAAATTCAACATGGGTATCAATGTTACCAGAAATTAATACTTGTATGAAGTAAGGGATAACTAGATTTTGTGATGACATAAAAATCTCTTTCGATTATAACAGTAGGCCTACTTGCAATGGTATCAAATAAGGAGTTTTTTTGTTTTGATGTGAGAAAAATTGTCTCTTACATAAATGGCACTTTTCTTACCATTTCGATTTTCAAAATAGTAGTAGTACTACTATTACTACTACTATTACTACTACTTTCGATTTTCAAAATATTGTCAATACAGCCTGCCCTTTGTGAAGTGACGTTTTGATTTTTGTAGCACCCACCGTTGCTGCATTTACTTAGTAGCCTACCGCCACTGAATTATTAAAAAAAGTTTTTACTCTCCACCAGAGACAATTATACCTTCACAAGTGGGAGATGCACCGCTCCACACTCCCTCGGCCGTACACATCCTATATATGTCCCCTTTCAACATGTAGCCTCGCTGGCAGCTGTAGGATACACGGTTAGAATACAGCGAACCACCAGAAACATAGCCATTGGCAGGGGCAGTCAAATTACCGCAGGACTTCGCTGTTTTAAACGGAATAAATAAAAAACGATATCGTTCATTACTGTTGCAGGAAAACTGAAGGAACGATAACATGCGCCAAAACATTTTTTGCCAGTATTTTTTTTTTTTTATATCTCATAGAAACACAAATGATACATAGATGCATTAATGATAGTCCCAATTCTTTGGATATAATTTTACACAGATTTAAAAACATAGTAAAGCGGTGTCTTAAGACCCTGAATATCTAAGCACAACTGAATGGTTAAATTTATAATAGAGGGTAGCAGTGATGTGGTGAACAACAACAACAACAGAGTAAAATGTTTGGTTTGATATAGAATGTGTGCCTACTGTGCATATTCGCAGCTGGCCCATGTCCTGTTTGTACCCCCTTCGCTAATTTAAGAACTGCCTTTACGCTCTTATCTGAATTAGACACCGGACGATAGCAGCGTCACGTTCGTGCCCTGTCACCTAAGGTGTGCATCAGAACACCTGTTAGAACCCCATAGCCGCATTAACCCAGAAAAACAGGTCAACACTCACGTGGACAAGTGGGTGTGGGTGAGTTCCATCCCTGCAGAGTACAAACAGCCGTTGCTTTCCCAACCAAATCATGCCCTTTTCTACATTGGTAGGTGATCGAATCCCCGACATCGAGTCCCTCGATGATTTCTATTGAGCCGTTGATGGGAGGTTTTGGAATTCCACATGGTGTCACTGAAAACAGACTCTTTTTTCATTGAAATTTATAAAGATTATTAAGTTTCTTTGATAAATAAGTATTAACATCCTTAGTGCATTATAAAGACACAATTTCCTGTAGAAAATAATAATTCAAAAGGTCCATATCTTATTATTTTAAAAACCCAACGCGAGGCCACTTTGCACAATATCCACTGGCCGTGTCCGACACACAATGCTGGCCATGCAGCACTCACTGTTATACATGAGAGTGAAGCCACGGTCCGTGTTTGACATGTCGCTCTTCCAGTACACATCCACAATACTGGAGTTGGTCTTAACTGGTTCGGGCGGAATGTCTCCACTAGCAGTAGCAAGCAGATTTCTGCGGTTATACCCCTAAAATGATGATCATTTACATGAGAGTGTTTCAGTATATTTGATATAGAAGTGGCATGTGTTAACTATATCATGAACACTTAAATAAGAGAATGGGATGTATTATTGAGGCAAATGAATCGATGGAACTGGGGCATTACAGCATTTTTTTTCACTTATAGTCAATATGATAACCATTGGTTTAACATTCATAGAAATAAATATAGTCACTTTTCTTGGGAAAATGACATTTTAACGTGGCAAAGCAAGTGCTGCTGCGCTATTTAATTTTGATATACACAGTAAAAAATACACAATTATGGGCCTATAATGAGCAACAGAAAATACATGTCACAGAAAATACACAAGTCAATGTTACCGCATACAATTCCAGCACGTCATAGTCGTACTCGGTTTGAAGCACGGGAAATGATATCCTGACCGACCGTCCAGTTGGGACAACGATTGACCACCGACAATTCTGGCTGACAGGATAGTTTTCAGGGTAATTTGGACTGTAGATGACGCCACTGGTGCTGTTTAACAGACGGTAACTTGGGCAGTCAGCTGCAATAAAAGTGATATTTTGAAAGCGGTTAATTTTTTCTTTCGCTTGTTGTCATTATTTTTTGTAGTTGCATAGTAAGTGGATCCTGTAATGAAAGTGTGAACAGTATAAATAGTAAGGATCACAAATGGAACTGATTCATTTTAGCCATATGATAAATTCAATGCCAAGATAAATATCAGGGGCGTAACCAGACCTTTAAAAATTGTACGCACAGATTTTTAAAATTCCCAGCAAAATGTAGACTAACGCAAGAGATGAAGGACAGCGTAATTACAGCATATGTACCACACATCGCAGCTTAATTTTCATTAATAATAAAATCATCATTTAGTCAGAAATATTCTCGCAATTAAAAAAGTTTCAATATTCTTATTACCCAGAACGGTTTATTTATTTAAAAGGAGGCTAGCTTCGCATATGTGGAACCCCCTTCAAATAATCCTGGATCCACCTCCGAGTTAAACTAACATACGGTTTCATTCACCTTACATGTGGATGCATGGCTCCCAAAAAACAACCAATTGTACGACACGACAGAGCTCTGATACATCTTAGTTAAATTATTTGTTTGTAAAAATTGCCCATGTCACCCTGTTAGTTTGGAGGGGTAAGCTGGGTCAAGTCCGTGTCAAAATTCTTTGAAGCTTTGCAGGAATTCTTCCTTTGTTTCTCTAGCTCCTTCTTAAACCTGGCGTCCAGATTTTATCTAGTGCCCCCAGGGTTGCGGGAGCTGCTCTTTGAAAATAACACTCAGGCAGATTTTTACCTAAGATAAAGGAAGAGGTAAAGGAAGTGTCAGTTAGATGGACGATTAAGATAGCTAGGAC